CACTTTTACCAGAACTCAGACTTTACCCAACAATGACAAGGTAAGAACTTTGGCATCAAGTATATCATTACTACCCTTCACTTCATTGAGTTGAATTAAAAGTCCATGAGGTTGTTGTCCTATGTTGATCTGGGCCTTTAGTTGCTCCAATCTCCCCTATTTTGGCTGCTCACCCAGCAAGTCAATCTGTATGTCACTGTCCGTGGTGCTGAACACAATTTCTGAATGTGTTTTTAGAATAGAGTGTGAAAAGAAAATGGTAGTACAGACATGAATATATCTCATTCTCTTACGTTCATCTCGATCTTTGCAATAACTCCTTTACCTGTTACAAAGTATAGTCTGTTGTTAAAAAACAATGTTAGTCTCTGATTATTTACTCAAAATGTGTCAAGTTTGTGTATGTTTGACATGTTTATTTCTGAGGTGTTACCGTTGGCAGATTTCTTCCTGTATCTCCTCTTTAAATATGTAATCTGTTCAAGAGTGAATTCCGCTATTCACTTTACGTAATAGGATCCCTTACTTCCGTTGATACTTCAGGGTTTCTACAGCACATTTGATTATATTGGCTAATATGATGCAAACTACAGTGAGAGGGAAAAGACAATCTTCAGTCATGTCCTATATCAAGTCCTCCAATTCAAGTGTAAATATACTGTGTTTCACTGTTGACGTTGAATATCCGTTTAAAGTAGGCTATTAATACTTTCCATAATTGAATACATTTTTTGTCACAGCAGATTCTTTTCCACAATGGCTTTGAATCCGCATTCCACGGTGCAGTAAACCGTGTGAGATTGCACAGAGATTTTTAAATACGTTGTGTTTTTTAATGTATTCATATTGCAATAATGTATAGTGCCGTTTGTAAAGCAAGTGCTCGTCGGTGTTTCTGAATGAGGAGGGGTATTTTACGGTTGTATTATAACGTGTGCAGTTCACGTAGGTTACCACAAAGGGACGCTAAAGACCGTAACACAGAAACGGGGAGGCTCCTCCCAGGGTAAAAACGCAAGGACTGTGGATTTTTAATCACAAAGAAACACGGGGAGAGAAGGGAGGACATAATGGAGTCGTCCTCTTTAAGCTGAAGAACATCGAAATAGTGTTGGACTAAATATTATCACATCTCATCAGTCCACGGAAGAAACCCTATTGTGGATATATGCTTTGTTCTTTTTCGGAGGAATTATGTCTTCACGAGGTAGCAGGAGGTTCATTGTTACATATCTGATGCTGGTGATGTTGGATTGTTTCTATGAAGCGGCGTCTGGGCAGCTCTCCTACTCTGTCTCAGAGGAGGTGAACCCGGGGACTAATGTCGGAAATATCGCCAAGGATCTAAACCTCAATGTGCAGGATTTGGAGTCCCGTTTGTTTCAGGTTGTTACAGGATCTAAGAAGAAATACTTCGAGGTAAACCTTAAAACCGGATTCCTCTATGTCAATGAGAGGATAGACCGAGAGGAGCTTTGTACAGACGAACCCAAATGCACTGTGAGTGTGGAGGCCGTTATAAACAGCCCACTAAAGCTTTACCGCGTAGAGATAGAAATTAGAGACGTGAATGACCACTTTCCGTCTTTTACCTCGAAATCACAAATACTGGACATCGCAGAGAACACCTTGCCTGGGTTTAGATTTGCGTTATCGGAGGCAAGCGATGCAGATGTGGGTAAAAATGGTGTTAGTGCGTATAAGCTCAGTCCAAACGAATACTTCAGTCTATCGACACACAAACGAGGGGAGAGTATATCTCCAGAGTTAGTGCTGCAGAAAGGCCTAGACCGTGAGAAAAAGCCACATATGCAGCTCATGTTAACTGCGGTAGACGGGGGAACTCCACCAAATTCAGGCACATCAGAAATTAAAATAAATGTACTAGACACTAATGATAACGCACCAATCTTCAGCAGCACTCTTTACAAAGTTAAAACGTTTGAAAATGTCCCGCTTGGTGCGGTGGTATTCACCTTAAATGCGACCGACGCAGATGAAGGCACAAACAGTGAAGTAGTGTATTCTCTTCGTAATCAGGATCAGGACCACATTCTGGATATTTTCAAAATTGACCCTGAAACGGGGATCATTTCAGTGAAAGGGAAAATCGACTACGAGGAAAGAAAAGCTTTTGAAATCCGAGCAGAGGCAAGGGACAAAGCCCAGCCTCCTCTGTCAGCTCATAGTAAAGTGCTGGTCGAAGTAATTGATGTAAACGACAACGCTCCTGAGATCACGGTGACGTCACTGCTGAATACAGTGAACGAGGACGCTGATGTAGGTACTGCCATTGCACTTGTTTCCGTTCTAGACAGAGACAGTGGTAAAAATGGGCAAGTGAAATGTGAGATCTTAGATACTGTTCCGTTCAAATTGGAGACAAATTACAAAAACTATTACTCTTTAGTGGTTGATGGACATTTAGACAGAGAGGTGACTCCTCAGTACAATGTAACTATTTCAGCAACCGATGAAGGGAGTCCTCCTCTTTCAAACATCAATGTTATTACCGTTTACGTTTCTGACGTTAATGACAATGCCCCAAGTTTCCCGGAACATTTGGTAAATATTTATGTGAAAGAAAACAGTAAAGTAGGAACAGTTGTTAAAACAGTAACTGCAACTGATGCTGACGTCAGCAACAACGGCCAGGTGAGCTACTCATTTTTAAACAGTAATAGTAAATCTCTGCCTCTCTCGACAATGGTGAACATCAACTCAGAGACTGGAGACATAGTCAGTCTGCA